GAAAAAAAATGAGCAGAAGTTTCTGAGTTTTGCTTTCCTTTTTAGAGGAAGAAGAGTTCCACTGAGAGGTTTAGTGACAGCTTGGTATCACTTAGACAGAGTAATCTATCTGAAGAAAGATTAATGGTAATTAAAGTGGCATTGGAGAACTACAGCAAATGACAGCAGCCAAGCTGGCTGTACTGATATTTTTAGAAAACTGACTTCATTGCATTCAGCATGACTCATTTATTAAGTTAGAATCAATAACTCAGCTTCTTATGACAGTCACTGAACGTGGAACAGTACATTAAGAACATGTTCTTATCTTTGATCAAGGGATTTTAAAAGTTGAACAGAATTGGTTCCATGCAGGTTCACAAGTGTCTTTGCACAAGCATATTGTAGTTACGCAGTGACAGGGTAGTGCATCCGCCTTGAACATATATGGAGAAAGGAGCAGAGAGGCAAACCAGTCCAAAGTTTGACGTGGAACTATAATGGAAAATAAATTTGTGGCTATTATGACATTATATCCAGAATAAATTATCCTTACTAAAAGAGTTAACTTTTCATTAAACTTCATTATCTTGAATTCTCTTCTGTTTTAATAATGGGATATTTGTGCTGTGGTTCACTGTTTCTAGCCTCCATTTGAGCACGCTACCTCCTGGTTTTTAACTTTTCTTAACTTGGATAAAATTCAGATCTTCCCTCATCAGTGATACTATGATTTGATTTGTGAAATAGTAAAGCTTCCATCTGTTCTAATGCAACTGTATTGACCTTACTTCAGTATATTTCCTGTATTTTCCTAATTTCTGAGGTTGCTCTCGCAACTCTTCTTGAACATTTTTTTTAATCCTTGTTGTGAGCTTTCTCCTACAGTCTATGCATTACATTTTATCCTGAGATGTATTTTAGAATAAAAAGTTTCCCCTAAAAAGACAAAAACTTTGTATGCTTTCACAAACAGTTACGTGATATTTTTCATTTCCTAATTATTTTTATGGAATTTCTGTCTAATCTTTTTGGATTCTCTTGACAGAGACCTCTGCTAGTTTTGCCCAGTACAAGGTGTGGTTCTTTGCTTTTCTTGTGTAAGTTCTAATGACTGTATCTGGGAATAATTTCACTTCTTTTCTGCAGAGGGATTGGAGTGTCTTTGTTACTTGATCAGGGTGGGATACAAACCCAATGAGATAGACATGAATATAAATTGTGGGAATTTTGAGAGATTACCTGTTGTATACATACACAAATAAACTAGAGCTAACTAGTGTTTGAAATAATTTCATTATTAAATAAAGTTTGGAAGAGGAAGACTTAAAGCATCAAGTCTCTTCAGACGACTAGTTTTTCACCTTCATGAAGTAGCTGGCTGTATATTTAGCTTTGCTCTGGGTTTGTTGTATATTCATTCTGAGAGAAAATGCTATTTGTACTCTCGGATGCTGGCTGTTATATTGTTCAGTTCAAGAAAAAAGCAATAATAAAAGCAGACTGTGAAAGATGAAGAGTGAGTCTGCATGAAAAATGGATCCCTGTTAAACTGAATTCTGGGCCTTCTAATATGGGCTATGCTGTGTTATATCCTGGTGTACAAAATGTACTGTAGTGAATGTGTTCTCTTCCTAGCAGATCCTTTGCTTTTCTGATTGTGATGTAATTACTTCTTGAAATACTACAATCAAAAGAAATTAATGTAAAATGTTTTAATAGTCTGTGAACAAAATCAATCTGCAAGAGAAATTGCTTTCAAGAAAATGAAAAAAATGATTGCCAAGTGCTCATATTTTGCCAGACACTGTTGTGTATCACTTGTTCTGTAGGTACCTTGCATAGCTGAAATCTGCCTGACCTCTATTCTTTTAAGTGTTAGCGTTCAAGTTGAGGATTTGCAAAATAATATGCTAATTTCAAAACAAGGTACAATTAATAGTGACATGTAAATGTAATTCAGATAAATCTTTGAAATCTGATATTGTCCTTAGGTTGGATGTGCTGATTAATGGATTGAATTTCAAATTTGTTTTGATTTTGCTGTTGTTTTTTATGATTCATCTCAATGTTTTTGTTTCTCTCTGAAACCACTTTATGTATATGTCTGTCTCTGTGGACTTATGGTTCTTGGAGATATTTGAGACCCATCAGGAGGCCTACCCGTGTGACCTACTGTAGGGTACCTATTTTAGCAGGGGGTTGGACTCTATGATCTCGAGGCCCCTTCCAACCTTTGCAATTCTGTGATTCTGTGATCTGATTGTGGGACATTTATAATAATGATATGGTAACGCAAAACTAAGCAATTTAAAATTTGTTTTCAGACTACTTAATACGAGGCTAGAATAAGCTGGGATTTATGACATTTGAGTGAAAAGTATGCAATGAGTTTCACAACTACTTCTGCTTCCAACAAACTAGTTTGATGATTGAATTGTATGGTGTAATATTTTGTTTCTGAAATTGAAACAGACCTTAAAAATTTATCTGTTACTGTTAAAATACTTAACAGGCTGCCAAATACACAGCTTAAATCATTTTTTTCCTCATAGATACCTAGTTACATAGTAAAATCAGTTTGGTGCCTCACACATACAGTAATTACAACCAGTAGAAGATTTCAGGCTGTGTTAACTGGATCCTGCTGATTTGTGGGCTACCTTTAAAATATTGTGAAACTCACTGCCAAATTTTGTACACAAAGTCAAACGTCTTCATTATGTTCCTCTGTATTACCCAATTTCCATGGCAATACTGGATCTCTCTTCCAGTAATGAAGGAAAATCTGATGTTCTGAAATGAAGAAAGGATTACAGACTCTGAAGCATTCATAGAATCGTATATTTCTGTTCCTTTTTCAGTTTCAAATTTGGTATTATTTATTTATGTAGCCTGGATTTCCAAGCTAAAGATGTCATTGTAAGATCGAAGATGTATTTTAGATGCGGAGAATTGGAGCTAAAGGTGCAAGGCTATTTGAACAGCATATCTTTTAATGTATTTTTCATTTTCAAAACTATGGAATTGTGATAACCAACATTTTGGTTGTCATCGCATTTTGCTATTTTGTGTGTAAGTAAAATATCCAGTTCACTAATCCAGTTCACAACTACTTTAAAATGTGCCACCATTTTGATTGTTATTTGGTGAGTTTTAGAGTATGGTAAATTGTTGACACAAACTTTGCAGAAATGTTTGCAGAAAATGATACTCATTAATGCTTTAAGCAAGCTAGATGAGTTTTCTGAGTCAATTATTACTTTCATCAGTTTTTTTTCTGATGTTATACTAAGGGTGACTAGTAAAGGATTTCCTACTATTGGAGTTCTGGTAGCAGATGCTCATCCTTTCCTTCTGCTAGGGGATGCAAAGATGTAGAAGTTAACATTTGGGTACTTCTGGCATCAATGGATCAGAAACAGTTAAAAAAAACACATTCTTACAGGCTGTGTGCCAGTAGCAATCAAGTGCAAGTCGTGTTCGTGACATCTGAGCCATCCTATGGCGTTGAAGGAAGCCTTTGTCATGGTGTTAAAAGCAATTTTTTTTTTTTTTTACAGCTATCCCTGGCAATGCTGGCAATGACCTTAGAACAAAGATCAGATGCAGTTAAAAGTAAAAGCTCACATTTTTACTTGCAGTAGCAAAAAACATTCTCTTGGTTCTCTTCACTGTTCAGCTGCATTGGGGATGAGCAGCAGAGGAAGTTGCAGAGGACATAGGAAAGGCAATATTTCTTGACTGTCCACAATAAATTTGAATGCAGTAGCATCTGGAGATCCTGTCTTGGTAATCATAGCTGATGCTATTTGGAGTGTTGATGAACTTTGATACTGACTTTTCCTATGCAGACTTTCTCTTCTGTCTGAAGCCTTCAATCTGTTCATTTCTGAGAGCGACTGTAGAAATATCAATATGCTGGATTTACAGGGAAAATCTTAATGTATTTTCTCTGTTACTCTTTGTTTCCCTTTTTAGGTTGAGTAAGCAATGTGTATAACAATTTCAAGAGGGAATATAAGGAAACACATCTGTGTAGAAATGCTGACAATTGTAAGGAAAAATCTCATAACATGAGGATACACACACAAATACACATTTGATAACTGTCTACTGCTTTACAATAAATATTCTCTTATCTGATTTCCATCTCTATAGGACCCAGAAAATGTCTAGTGTTGTTGTGCAGAGCCAGCAGGAAGGTCATTAATGCTGTTATATTTTTAGGTCTGAATTGTCACTATCAATGATGCTGCTACATAAAATAAAAGAAGCCATGTTTGCATGTCTCTGGGGAAAATGCAGTAGTAACCACCAAATACTAACTGCTATGTTTGCTACATGGTCTTTATTCTTCCTCAGTGCGTGGATGATTATTTACCATAAGTTTTTGCAGGATGCAGACAGAAAAACTACTTTTTATCATAGCTTTTCAGCAAATTGTATGTGGAACAAAAAAAAAAAAACAGTTTTTCTGTATCAGTGCTAATGATTTCACTTTGTAATTAGTAATTGTGAACATGAAGCTGTGGAAACTGTGAGGTCTTTGAGGTTTATACAGTTAGAAAATTTCAGTTTCTGGAATTGCATTTGTATACACGTAAGGTACACTAACAACTCAGTAAAATACTGACACAGAGCATGTCAGGCCTAAAATATTTAAACTCTTCCATACAGCTTAGAAAAGAAATAAAATGACTAATGTCAGTTAATGTACTTTATAACATCCTGGAAATGGTAGTTCGCTTGGTTGACCTATTTCTTACCATGGAGCATAGTGAAGGACACTGTGTATCTGAATGCTTATTTTAATGACATGAAGGAGAAAGATGTTGAGGTTGCTTTGGCCCTTTTTTTTTTTTTTAATTGTATTTTTTTGCTGTTGTTTTGGGTCTGGGTGGGTTTTACCTTTGAATTGACAGGTGGGATTTTTTGTGTTTTGAAGTGGGTCACAACACTGCTAACATGCTGTCCTTTGTGCTTTTGATTCTGAGAATATTTTCTTCTCTCAATTCCAGGTTGGGTGGGACTATATCTGCATACAAGATAGTGCCAGATGAAATAGAAGAAATCAAGGTACAGTATTACTGCCTTTCAAAACTGATTTTTTTTGCTTGGAGAATTACAGAAATGTTGCGTTAGAAAGCCACATTATTTTTTGCTTTGAAATGCCCAAAGAGTACATAACCTGTCTTTACTATCCTGTTTGACAAAATCTGAAGACAGAAAACAAGAATGATCATAAATATTGCTTATCTGAATTGATTGCTTATCTGAAAAAAACCCATAACTTAAAAAATTTAAATAAAATTGAAAACTTGTTCTTTCCAGACATTTATAGTCCTTATTTTAATTGGTAAAATATGTATTCAGTAATTATTAATCTTGGTATTTCTTTATACATCTAAAACATTAAAAACTGTACATTAAAATCTTAAAATTGTTTAATAAGAAATAATGGTTAATACTAGTTTCCTTCAACTATATGAATTGATGAATATATTTACACTGCTGAAACATTTTATCATCCACTCAATTTTAATCTAGTATCACAGAATAATAAAAAATAAAAACACAGATGTGATGTCTGTAGTAAAGTTCTTAGATCCATATGTAGGCATGTAAAATAGAACTTTCCTTATTTTTAGAAGCGTGTCTTACCCTCATTTTGGCAGGGATTGATGACAAAAATTTTCTGTAATTCAGTGCATCTGTGTTTAGATATCTGAAGACAGGTGCAGGAGTATTGTGAACATTAGCATAATAATAAATAAATAAATATTTAGAGTTTTGTTGCTTCTGAAGTCAAAACCACGACCAATTCTTTCAGTATTATTTGCACCTTAAGGAGGATAAAATTAAATCTTTGGTACTCAGAATCATCAAAAGCTCTTTGATTTGGAAGGATGACAACAATGGATTTACATTCAATGCAGTGTTCGTTATTACAGACTTCATTTTAACTGAGTCCACTTCAGCAATTTATGTCAGTTCTTAAATGGAGTGCTATGTGGGGATTTAGCCTAAATCTGTTTACATGGTTTCTGTAATTGGTGCTTTATTCCTTTCAACTGGCACTCAGTTATTCTGACCTATTGTTTGTACATTATTATTTCATTGTGCTTTTTGTATATTTGTTTTCATCTGTGCAAAGAGATTCAGTAGTGTAAAATACAGTAAATGGAAGTGGTTGCAGAATTGTTTGATCTGGACATGACTTCATGATATGTAAAGTTGTGAGGATTTGTTCTTATTCAGTTAATATCGAGCCCAATATAAGCAAATACAGTGCATCTGCTTCAAAATCAAAGCCATCACTTCATGATCGAAGTCAATATGTTTTTCCCACCTCCAAGATACATGGACTCCCTTATTTTAAATTACTAAAAGGAACATGACTTATGAGTTTAGATCTGACATTTAGAATTGGGCAGTAGAAGAGAAGAAAGAAGGTTTACAAAACTTACTGAAGTTGACTGATATTTTCCTAGCATTCAGAGAACTGTACCAAAACTGTAAAAACAAAAATGAGAAAAATCTTAAACCACAGACTTTGTCCTTTTGTATAAATAAAAACGGACAATAGATTTGGATTTCTTGATGGTGGTATTTCTGGCTTTATTGTGCAAACTGAGTTCAGTTAATGAAGAAAAATGGAGTGGTAGGAAATAAGAAATATGTTTTTTAGGAACTTACTGAATTAGGTATGCTTATTAATCAGAGATTTGGGTTTTTTCCAATTGCCCGCTAAGGAAGGAGGTCTGTTCTGATTTTTCATCCCTATCTCGCTTAGCTGGTGTTTGAATGCCCGAAACTGTAGAGAACAGCAAAAGGGTTACAAACCTTCATCACTGATTTCTGTTAAAACCAGCATGTAAGTGTGAAGGGAAGATTGTATTATTCTAAATCAGACCAGATAGGAAAAAAAACACTTGCATTTCTTGTTTGTGGCAGCTGTCTTGTCTTGTTCAGGTAATGCTTTTTTAGTTGTGACAGAAGTCAGCCACTCCATCATACCTTATGTGATTGAACTTCTGAAATTGTGATACAGTATATGTTTCATGTGAAAAAGGCACGGCTGGAAGATGCTGTGACACAGCAGCAGTGAGTATAATAGACAAATCTATATTGAAAAGGAAGGCTGTTTGTGTGCATATTTTGAATAACAGCTACCAAACACGGAGACTGCCATCCTAGCAGTAAAGACGGAGGAGTCTTAACTTCAGAAACGTTCTCCAAGCAGATTAGAGTGGAAAAAGGAGAAGTAATACAAGACAAAGCAAGTGAGGTTGTTGGAATGTTACATTTAGAGATGATGTAACCTTCCAAGCACAACGGTTCAGAGATTTTTGTCTCAGAACTATCCCTCCCCTATTTAAACATGAAATATTAAGAGAGTTAATTTGGCAGAATATGCATGAAGAATAGTTCTGTTTTTATTATATGATTTATCTTGACAGGTTGCTGAATTAAATTAAAGGAGTTTGAATAATCATGTTTTCTGATCTCAAAAAATAAACTGCTTGCTTAAATGGAAAGGAGGATACTTTATTAGACAGAGAACAATAATTATCATGACAAATAAATAAGTAATTTTGACAGCATTTCCATATGTTCTAGAAAAGGTGGTAGATTAACCTCTTTTACAACTCAAAATAGCTTATGAGGAAAATGAGTACAGGTTTACTGATTTCACTGATGCATGTAATTACTTCTTAGATGGGTTACTGTTGTAAAAATAGATTATCTCTCAGTTTGGGAAAAGGAAAAACTCTGTAAGCATTAGTATACCTGTCAGTTGAAATATGTCAGGAGAAGTTTAAAAAAAAAAAAAAAAAAAGTTTCTAAATGAATGTATTAGCGATTTTAAAAATGACCTGCATAATGTGCCTCTGTGTGTTCATGTATGTATATATGTATATATATGAGAGTTTGTATCCACATCACAATATTCAGTAAATTTTAGTATGTTTACAGTTTCCATCATAGAGTGTTCAGAATGTAGTTATCCTTGCATTTGAGTCCATACAAACGATTTTACTATGTGTATATTTGTACTGTGAGATCACATATTGATTATGAATATAGAATATTGTCTATATATGTATGTGCATATTTCTGCGAATGAGTATTTGGTCAATGTTGGGTAAAATCAAGCTGTGCTTCCTTGTTACCAAAGTTATGTAATGGCATGGATAGGTATAGACATAAGAATTAGGAGTATTTATGAGAGAAGAAATAGTGTGTTCCCTATCCACCCTCATGCATGTTTATCAGGGTTGGGAAGAACTGAGTGGAACTAATTACCACTGCAGTTTCTCAGCATATACATCGGTCTGGAACTGAATATGATGCAACTTGGGTTGCCTGTTCTTGTGTCACAGATGCGTAGGTTCACAACGTGAGAGCATTCAAATGGTGATTGTGTGAAGATAACCATCACAGGTTCCCCCCCTCAGAGCTCTTCTAGAAGATAGAAATGTCTTATAACGGGATCTTCAGGAACAGTGATTCGGTCAGAGAAACTATCAGAGCAGGAAAACTGGAGTGGATGCATACCTGTCATTTTTCCATTCCTGTCATTTTTCTACATTAGTTAAAGCAATACCACTTCACTTTCAATACTTGCTGGTTTTAGAATACTGCAGAAACGATGAAGTCATGAAGCGTAAGAATCACAGCATATTTCTGAGAAAACATAATTGTTTGGACTTTCTTTAGACATCTGTTTTCAGCAAAATTACTTGTCCTGTAAGCAGTGTTCTTTGCAAACTTGAAAAAATACGTTGGCTGATTTGAGCCTTGTTCGTTCACTGTAGTTGTATGTTGTGCCTAGAGGAGAGCTCTTCTAGGCCAAATAACGTAATGTACGCGGGGACTGGAAAGCATCAGGCAACACTCGTCTTGAAGAGCATCTTTTGATTGGAGGCTTAAAAAAACAAACCAACAAAAAACACTTTGTAGCAAACTTAACATTTCTTTATTTCTAGTTAGTGACAAACACAATACTGTTTTGCTCACAATGATGCTTTAAGAGAAAAGAGCAATTTATTACTATTATTGATTAGTGAGTCTTTTTGTTTTGTATCTGTACATAGTTTTCATATGCAAATGGTAATGTTTTTTGGTTTACAGTACTATGATGTGCTTTTTTTAGTTGCAGTATCCTGTCATAAATATGTGATGTTGTGAAGAGTAGTTCTTCTAGAGCAAGACTTTATGAATGAGATTTCTTTAAAGTATCTGGTTTGCTTGAATTTGCAAGTCAACAGCAGAGACAAATATAAATGCTTCCCCATATATTTTTCATGTAGGATTGCATGCCTCTTACTGTCTTCTCAACACCGTAAATGAATGTGACAGCAAGTGTCAAAAAGTAAAACACGTTGGCAATGAATTTCATTCTTGTAATACTTGAGCTCTGGAACAGATATTCTAGTGTAGAAAACGAGATTAGATTGTTACTTCTTCTGGTGGTAAATTTTGAGTAATATTTTTTTAGAACTGTTTTTTATTATTGGTTGTAAATTTAAACGTAAAGTACTTATGGGCAAAGATCATATTTATTTTAAGTCCATTTGTCCACTCTTTCACACAGAGATATACTTTATACTTATCAGAGAACACCTGTAATTTTTCTCTAGTTGATCTTCAAGTGAAAGCATATATGCATGACGTCTTAAAGGCTACATTCAAAGGCTTTTTCCCAGAGTAATGATAATTCTCTTTTCTTAGAAGCATGTTTCCTTATTGGTCTAATATGAGAAAAGTTCAGTTCGTAAAGGTCAGTTACTTTAGATGACCAATGAATTCGTGAGGTTTTAACTTTCCCACATGATCATACTAATGAATTTATGAAGAAAGCTGATTCACTGTTAGTGCCAGCTGCCTTTCAGAGCAACGATGGACTTCAACTAAAAAAAAAAAAAAAAAAAGTTATTTGAAATAATTGCAAATAAAATCAGTCTATCCAGAGGCATTCTCTGAGATCTGCTGCTTTGTAGAGCCCGTGGCGTAACATGCCTGCATAATATTGTATGCTAGAATCTTCCTAACATGCTGATAGGAGTAGCTGA